CTCGACGCCCCTAACGCTGGTCACAGCCTTTTAGACTACTGCTTCGGAATTCAATCCCTATTGTTTGAATGTGTCCTCACTACCATCACATTCATCCCCTGGTTAACCTTTGCCCTCTTCCATTCTTTTCTAACAAGCGTCCTATATGTAGTCCAAGATCCCTCCTGTCTTCTCCATTTTTTAAGGGCATTTTTCCCTACCTGGTCATTTGTGAGATCCTATTTCAATCCCTACGCATATGCTATTCTCTATGAGTTACCCAAGAAATCTGCCCACTTAGCTCTTTTAGTGGTAAGGGAACCATGGCTTATCACTCACCTCTTAGTCGAACTCATGAGGTCTGTACTTCTCTTGATTGGGATCCCAATCAACAAGTTTGGCAAAGGCGTTTCGTGGATTGGACGGATGCTGGTCAAGACGGGTGGGGCCAGAAATTTTGATAGGGGCCCGGCAGACAGGATATGAGGGGGGTGTTTACTGGGATTTTCCTATGATTGTGGGGTCCTTGGAGTTATATTGTGAGTGTGTTTATGAGTACCTTTAGTTTGCCATGGAATGAATCGGTCTAGGCACGAGAACAGGTGGAGATAAGATTCTAGACATTAATATTACATTATAGCGTAAATAAATCGACGAGTAACAAACATTAGTACCGATATAACCTCGTAGATAGACCGAAACGCCAGAAGAACGCCAGAAAAATGCCAGAAGACCATGAACAAGATAGTAGTAGGCTAACATGAAATATGGTACCAAAATTTGAAAGGCAACTTATTCTGTTGCTATACCCCATACTCTCTGCGGCAATCCTCGCTGCTTCTCATTCGCCATACAGTCCAGCTCCAACTCAATTGCCTCTCTTAGAGTCCGGTGATCCACCTTCTCTGTTGTTATCTTTTGTCCATGCTGATATTTCATAACCTTTGCATCGGATGTCCCTTCTTTGTATACTACCTCTTGTGGTATCTTCAGCCCCTCTTTCCAACCATTTCCCAAAACCATCTCGTTGTCTATCCAGAGGGGCTTCTTTCCCAGCGTACCTGCCCTCCAACTCTTCCATTCCTCACCGAGAACTGCCACCTCTTCCCGTATAGCCATCACATAATTTTCACCCACCAGTCTCTCCATCGCCACACTTTCCCCATTAACCTCCAAAACCTTCCACCTTCTCTCTTCCTCCCTAGTAAACGTTTCCCCCAGTATCTCCACCGGAGTCAGTTTTCCATTCCTACTAACCGCTTCAGGACTCAGCATAAACCGCCAATAAACCCAGCTCCACCCTCTCCTACCACGATAGAACTCCCAATCAAATTCCTCTTCACGAAGACTATCCCCGGTAGCCTGCGTTAAGAAAGAAATATAAGCCTTTAGCGCACGCGTGGTATCAACCACACGACAGTCCGCTCGAGAATTGAGCTTCAGCGGTGGCCGAGCGGGCCCGGGGCGTGCATAGTGCCAAATATGGGACCTCTCGCGGACATTCCCAAGGTCTGAGACAAGCCAACTCATAGTGGTAGTCGAATTCGAGAGGGATGAAGGAGGCTGGGGCGTTGTGGGAGAGAGAAAGATGTTGTCGGTTTTGATATCATCATGGCACTAATACGTACAATCTGTAAGTTTTCCCCTCCCCTATTCATACCGTCCGTTAACGATAGGATAGGATCCAAGGAGTGCCACTTACATATCCATCCTCATGCATTCTCCCTAAAGTCTTCAAGAATCTTAAAAAATCCCTTCTGTACGCGGCATCCACTTCATATGGCCTCAACCCTAGCCTGCTTACAATAAACGCTAAATCTTCTACAGTCCCATCCTCATAGTATGGCATCACAAGCATCCAGTGCTTCCCGAAGAACTGATTCTTCACATAAAAGTAATCCAGTGCCCTCACCAAACCACTTTCCCCTCTGCCACTCCGGCCGAACCACAAAGTTGCTGGAATCTCCACTGGCCAAGTCTTCACTACTGTTCCCCACAGCCCGCTTCCAGCCAGCACCCAATTAATAGGTCTTAATACCACTCTGTACCATGATTCCACTTCAGGGTTAAACACCCTAAAAAGGCGACCCGGCAGATGGTTTACTCTCGTCCCCCAAAAGAACCTCTTGATGACGACCTTCCTCCCTCCTGGTGGCTGCGTGTCGAGATAAAGTCTTACCTCGCCTTCATATCCCTTTCCCAGGGTCTTGATATATAGGTATCGCCCGCCATCGATGTCTAGGGTATTTTTATCAATGGTGCGAAAGGGTTTCTCTTGTGGCGGAGGGATGAGATGCTGTACTGTGGAAGGGCTAGAGCCGTCGCCTGCTGCCGGTGGGAAGCGGGTGGGGATCTGCCGGGGTGAGTGGGCGCGGATACAGCGGGCGGTGGAGTATATGATGAGCGCGAGAAGTATGGAGACGAGAAGGAGACGGAATAGTATGAGGAGAGAGCCTCCTCTGCGCGTGCGCCGGACGGCCAGGGGGTAGATTGCCATTTGAATTTGAGGAAGGGCCCGGTTGGCAATGGCACTTGCCCGTGAGAGGAAGGTAGCTAAGCTGGGGTGGTTTACTACTATGTTGGTATACGTTCGATTCGGCAATTAAGACGAACACAACAGTCTGTAATTCGCGGACCAGGACCAAAATGGGGGCAAGATACGGTATACAAGCTCTTCCAAAGTCTTAATGGGGACAATATTCCGAATGGCCTCAGGGTGCGCCGCCTCGTCATAGGCTAGAGAGCTTTAATACGAGTAATATTACCAAAAAAAGAAAAAAAAATCTCAATAAGACGATACGGAAATAAAATTACAAACAAGTGCATGCTCTGCCTTATATTATTTGATACTTGGAAATATGTAAAATCCTGAGTTGGTTCCGGATTAGAGTGACGTTCGCAGTCCGTCAGATTGCTGATAATGCCCAGTATCTAGCATCTTCTTGTTTCTCCATTGTTCCCTCATCCTTATCGTGACGTCTTCAAACTACTAAGTATCTTGTCCTCCTCTTCGGTAACAAATCGTACAGTTCTTTCCGCAAAGCGCCATGTACCCTTGTTCTGCCCATCTACGTCTGGCAATCTCGCAACCAATCACACCTAGTAGACGTAAAGCAATGTTAGATTCCAAATTCTCATAAATCTAAGAACATGATAGCTTCATCGTAAGCAAGGTTTGTATATATACCAGGAAGTCCAAGGGTTTGGGTATATATTAAAACGTGATTTCTCAATATCAATACTAATACCAGAAGTCCAGCTTGGACTAATTTACAATAAACTTACGACCAGTATCGACTGCATTCAATCTTCTTTAAGCATTAACCATCTAGTACAAACCAGATTGTGGTAAACCTGTTGCCTGACACATGACGTTAACACCGTTTACCTAATCATGCGGTCACAACAGTTATTGTACATAGCATAATAATTCCAGCACCAGCTTGCTCGAGCGTTTCGGCTACGAGTGGAAAAGTGTATTTTAAGTAGAACATATCCTTAGCTGTAGAACATTCCTTTACCTAATCCACATCTACACCACGAGCCAGTGCACGTTCCAGGGCAGTTTCTGGGAAAATGGCCTTATACAGTATGGTTGTATATTCGCGGCACGAATCATCAACATGACGTAGTTATGTCCCATTCTTGTCGTGAACGTGAACGAGGTAGAGAATGAAGAATACAACAATAGTGACTTGGCCTTTCTTTCTTTATCTGGTGTTCCCGGTTTGCGTGTACTAGAATCTATGTACTGTATATATAAAAGTTCGGTTTAAAATGCCAGTATAAGTGTACGTAGACTGACTTCGGTGCGTAAGAAATTTGTATTCTTATGATGTATTCTCTACCTAATTAATAACTGAATAGGAACCTTCAAGGTTTGTCACCTGACTATACAATCCCACTCAGATAGTTGTCCGGGATGCATACCACTAGACGCGGCTGGGGTGGTTCAGGCTAGGTGCATATCTGAGACGCCCTGAACTCACTATGGAAAGTGAAAGCTTGGACAGGAGAGGACTTTGAGGGACTGATTTGGAGTAGTGTAGAAAGAGGCAAACAGCAAGTACAATATGGGTATTTCTTTGGGCCGGTGAGCAATTTGAACCAGAATGTGTTATACCACGGAGGTATTAAACTGTGCCTCTTAATAATTGAGTACTAATGTTTCTTAATTAGAGCAGCTCTAGGTATCACAATTATGTTTTGGGGTTGCTTTCAGGATTGCAAACAAGGTGGCTTTACGATATTACTACATGGGCAGAATAATGTAACTAATGTAATACATATCAGAAGTACATATCAGAGGATCATCTCTTCCCAGTTAGGGAAGAAATTTATGCAGTGGGAATTCTGGATCCTGTATTTCATATGACACACAAGGCGAAACTAATCGTTGCATTTGTGAAAAAATATGGCTTTGATTCCTCCATATTCACTAGACCAATCTTATTGAGTATATGTGGATTGAGCTCAAGCGGCGACTTTATCAGAAGTATCCTCATTATCTTACAAACTCCAAGGGGGACCAGCAGCAGTAGAAGCAAGGTATGTGAGACCTTACACACTTCTACACTATGGAGGAGTGACTAATCTTTGAGGAATGAGATTCCTCATCTTTTTTAAACGCCTCACCGGGTTGCAGCTGTTATATTAAGGCAAATGGGTTGTATACTAAGTACTAGTATTTAATAGTGGAGGGAGTTTGGATTGTCTTTTGTATTGAGATAACTCGGCGACTCGCAGCTTCATTCTTCATTCACTGAGTAGCGAGTCTGCTATATTATCCGTATGTAGAATAGCCGCACCGTTGTATCTTCCGATCCGAGTTAACCGGCGATATGCCCTCCATTTGGAGGTACACACATGAGGCGAGTAATAGTAACCTGGTTGGATACTAGTCAGACTAGGCTCCGCATAAGGGAGTGACTTTTAGAACAGATATTAGCGCTACCAGTGCGCACCTCTGTGGTTCAGTCAGGTTATGTACTAATAAGGCTGCAAGTAATTAATAACTAAGATCCGTCGTGGTGTAGTGGCTAGCATTTGAGACTCTCATTGACTACTCAGTGAGTATTTGAGGACTCTCAGAACCCGGGTTCAATTCCCGGCGACGGAATTTTCTTTTTTCCTTTCTTTTTCTTTTCTTTTTTCCCTCCGATTTTTTATTTACGGCTTAGAAGCCAGTTCGTTTATTGTTCGGTTCAAGGAATTAGGTTCAGGGTAACTAAAAATTACGTTTTACATTGCCTGTGTGGTTCTAATGAAATAATAAAATAACCGATATACAGTATATGTTCTGGTCCGTTCAGGGATCCAGTCCATACCGGTATGGATAGTCTCGTGCCAGGTATGGACTGAATATCGCAACGGACCAGGCCGCTACGGGATTAAAATGGTCAATGCCACGGCGACAGGAATTTACCACAACACCACCCACAGCGGCCACAGCGACGTTATAATTACTGAATAGGGACATAAACCAGATATGAAAATTGGTTAATGCCATGGCTTAGCACAACACCACAACAGCACAGCGAAGCGTCCTCTGTCTCAAGGCCCTGTTCAGTTTAAGCGCCACCATTCAAATACCAGCAAAACTCAATCTGAAGCAACTGGATCTGGAAGCCATCAAACATGGCAAGCTCAAGCCAATGACTTAGAGATCATGAACTAGGTCCACGATGATGCATTCGGTGCAGTAACATAGCCCTCTTCGAGGGTGTTGTGCCAACTAGACTAGTAACATAGCAAGTGCAGTAGGCCGAAGCGATATGCTAAAGAACAGGACTTTCTATCTCATATTCCGTTAGGTGAATAAAATGTTTGAAAGCATAGCTAGAACAGTTGTATCTGCGTTGTGTGTGGGCTATATGTGATGGTGACAATTTATAATAATATTATGTCGGAGGTGATTGTATTTACAAATTTGCAACTAAATCATTCGGGTACATGATGCATGAGAAAGTACCTATGATTAAGAATGTAAGGATGATAAAGAAAGTAATCATGAATAAGATGCGGAGGGGGGCCTTTGGGCCCTCTGTAAATAAGACTGTAGACTTGTCCGCCAGATTTTCCCATGTTATATTTATGCTATCCCGGAACGGCCCGGCAATCTCGCAACTGCCCGGTCCATACCGGTATGGACTGAATCCCAGAACGGACCAGAACATATATACATATAATTCTATACTGATGTTGCACTAATGGCTGTAAATACACATGATTTCCAGCACATTTCCAAACAGTTAGGGTCGGGATTTCCATATATATGATATGTACCATCCTCCATATCCAGGGCACAAGGCACGGAAGCGAGGAGAATCCCTGCCAACACACATGACCATATTATTCACACTTTAGGAAGAAACTACTCTTGAATACATATAACATGAAGGCTGAAGCTAGATAATCCACTCTTAATCTCAGGCAGGACCGGATTCATGGCATCAATTGACACATCTGGCAGTGAACCAAAATTTAAAGTAACGCAACTACCTCTCCTCTTGGAGGAAATTCTGGTGATAAGCCAGTAGCGGAGCTTTCAAAGGGGGGAAATATTCTAAACACAAAAGGTAACTTGGGAGTGTATGTAATTCTATATTGACTCCCGGAGCAAGCAAAGAATTTGGAAGAGCTTGGAATTGAGAATCATTACTGTGGTTAAGCAGACTGTATACTATCTCACTCGAAAGGGGCCCGAGTTCGCTCAGCTGCTGTCGGTTACTGACCCAGCCCTGGGCGCCTTAACCTCAACTGTGGGAGACCGAGAATCAACATGCAAATGAAAGCCGTACAACTGGCTACACGTTTCACAACTAGAAACAAGGTAAACCGTTCGAGCGATTATCAGACGCCTTTCCAACTTCCACAATTGATATTTCACCACTGCGAAAACAAGCTTATACTTCTAAACAGATGTGGCTATGGAAAATAGAACCATGAGATCTCGAGAACAAAGCCAAAACTATCGTAAACATGTCGATGAGAAGACTAAAGTAACCCTCTTGCAAGGCACAACATCCTGAAAGTTTCCATCGTCCGACTAGAAATGTACCACTGTAAGGATTTAGGGGATTCCATAGCGTATCCATGGTACAGGTGCAACGCCTGGAGTTTATGCGCATCGACACCAGGTCTTTTGGTATCACTCATATCAAACCCAAGCCAGTTTTTTTGAACTTGAAGCCCAACCTCTTCTAGAAACTCGATAAACTGATCCGAGAAAGCCTTCCGAGAATCGAGCTCAATATACTCCGTAAATGCTACTCCACCATTCAGAAACCCCCGTAAACCACTATCAAGTCGACTCGTCTGGGAATCCGTGAGGGAGCCAAGGGATATCGCTTCCACATATCCATACATCCCACTAATGGTATAGTTGCGTGCAGGTGCCCCGGGCGAGATTGATATTAACCTGCGGAGTTCAATGGAGAGGTCCTTAATCTCCGAATGCAGCATTAATGTCCGTTCTGCGTGTTCCTGTTTTTGCAGTTCCACTTCCTCACACAAGGTGCTGATCCTGCGCTATTTTTCTGTAATATTAGCGATCACTGCCGCTAAATATGGGGGGTTCGTCACCTGACAGTCTCGCAGTTCCTCATCCAAGGTGTTGATCCTGCACTATTTTTCTGTAATATTAGCAATCACTGCCGCTAAATATGGGGAGGTTCGTCACATGATAGTTCGACATCAGTAAATATGCGTTCCAAAGATGTCTTGGGGTTCTTCCGGGCTTGAAAGCTGAAGGCCAAAGTGTCTAGTATAAGCAAGCAAGCAAACTTACAAAAGGTCGCGAAAACCCAAAGTATTAATAGAGGTAGGAATGAGAAACAAGCACACCCAAAATAGGACGATACAGGTATAAAAACGCCCTAGCTCGAAAAAGAGTGTATGTACAGTACATATAACCCAATCATTATCTAGAACGGGGCTTATGTCTATGTATGTATTTATGTCTGTCCAGTTCGTGCTGCACTACTGTAGTTAACAATAAACAACAATAAAGGATCTATCCATATGGATGTCGATTAGGAATTGATATACCATGCATCTATGGGGCTCTGCAGCTGGCTAATTCAATCCACCAATTATTTGACAGTCATTTTCCACAAAATATTGCTTTAAGGAACAAGCCGAGCTGAGCCCACAACACCTAGGCACTTGCTTAACTTCCTATTCTCAAATCTATTCGCGCTCGAAGTCAAGTGTTGGCAAATGTATCTCTTAAATCGTCCACGTCAGCATGGCCATGTGTTAAAGGTGAACTCAAAAGGTGGATTGTAACATGGATATGCTTCTGATCATTTTATTGAGTTATCCACTACTGGGTGACACCAAATGCGACTAATAGCCGCTCCATCTTACACCCCCTTAAGTCAAAAAACATCAAAAGCAAAGGACAAAGAACAGAAGAACAGAAAAAAGTCCCCCACTCTACCTCCAGCTACAATCCAGGCCTCGGAGACCAAAACTCGGGAGTGGTGGTGAAAGGGGGGGGCCTAGACTTGCTCCTCCCCCTTCCCTCCTCCCTAACATTCCATGGTACCTCCAGGCTCCTTTCCAACGACATGCACTCCGTAGCCTTCCACGCCTTTCCCAACCCCCCGGACGAAACTTCTCGTCCTGTGGATCTCCTTCTTCCCAAGCCACACATTCCACCCAGGGTGTCCCCTACGCTTCCCGGATCGTACAATTCCCTCTTCCTCCGAAGTCCCTCGAGAGACTCGCATTCGCACATAATATGGAAGGTGCAATTGCCCTCCCCTCCCTGTCCCTCCTGCTCGCACAGAGGACAACGTCCCGCAGCCTGGCGAATCCTAATTAGTGCTCGTACCAGACTCAACGGCCATAAATCCCAAAGATGTGACTGGACATAGCAATTCGCTGGAATACCGCTAAGGAATATCAGAAGATCTAAGCAGCTTGCACCACTTCCCCTCTTTCCCATTCTAGCGTAAGCGATTGGTAAACCATTCTCGCCATTAATGGCAATCATAATCACAATTCAAATACTTACATAACAGCAACCATAGTAGGAAAATACAACACAGAAATCGAGTAAAATGCGACATAGTAATTTTGATCTACCCCGACACCCTCAAGAATCGGACAACAACACACCATAATCACAGAGGCGACAGGCAGCATTAGAAATTTGATGATAAGGCAATGTTTCACCCTAAAATTTGAGCCACTAGGGTCTGTTCAAGTTACAAATGTGCCTCAAACAGATAGCATGTAGGTACCATGTGATTCAAGAGATTGGCTGGGAGCTCACAGAGGTCAGGAGGGCATCTGCATGCATGAAATCTTGCATTTCAGAGAGGAAAGGGACATGCACTGCATTGTGGTAAGGGAGTATTTGTCGAATTGTGACAAGTGGCCCCTTTTGATATGAGCTCCACCAAAAAGACAACCACCTTAGCTTATGGGTTATTGGCTGAAGTTTTGGGTGAGGAAAGATATAGGTCTCTTTGTATGTATATCAGTGCGGAACATGTGTTAGATAGTGGATTAGATACTAACCCATTACGCATAGTTATCGTTAAGGGAATTGATTAGTAGATAAGCCAGCCATGAGTTCGGTAGACTTGATAAACATTACAACAGCTAAATGTTACAACAACTTGAAAAAAAAAAACTCCATTCAGACATTAACATAGGTCAGGTTGGGTTCTCACAGATAGTCTGTCGATCTCTGATAAAAGAGGCTGAACTATAATTGGTCAGTCTTGGAGCTCTTTGTAGGCGCTCTGATATCAATGCAGGGTCCTTCTTGGCCTCCACTACCTATCTTTCCAGATACAGAAATTCCAAGCATCTACCTAGGGACTAAACAGATCGGATAGGTACATACAGTACATACATACATCTGGTGGATAGAAACGAATATCCACAGGAGGATCCAAACAACCCATCGAGAACCCTTAAAGTGCATTCAGGAAAAAATACTAAAACTAGAAGCAGTATATAGCTACTTTGATGAGCGTTAACTTAGTCAATATTACTTTCCATGTTTCATAATTGATCACCATTAGGTAATATACCAATGTACAGATCCCATTAGAGCTAGACCAATACTTTTGTGAAATACATCTTACCTGGTGAATAGCA